AAAACACAACACTATACAAAAATTAAAAAATTATATCGAATGATCCAATCCAAAAATTAGAATTTGTGAAATTTCAAATAATAGCTAATTTCAACTTACATTGAAGAAGACTGACAATTGAGAGCGAACTTTACCGATTCTACCGATCGAATATTATATTCTAAGTCTCAGTACTTGGCCTCGTTGACAACAATGTCGCTGTTCAGAGAATTAAATTTCAGGAAAATTAAAATATTAGAATATGATGCACGTGCTGCCATCTACTCAAAGAATTGATGAGCGTTAGGTTATTTGATTGCCACTTATTTTAACTGCGGCGTGAACATACCCCTTTAACCGAGCTTTTATAGAATTACTTTAGTGAAAAATAAATATTTTTAATTACATTCGTAATTACCAGAACAATTAGCTGCCGCACTATATCTTAAAGCAAAACTATCGCAACCTACAAATCTGAGCTCTCTACAGAAATTCTCGAGGGCATTGATAAAGTAGTATAAAAAGAATAATTTCACATAATATAAAAAATCATATTTTAAATATTTATTGTATAAAAAAACCGTTCTTTATATAATACATTTATATTTTATTTAAATAAAACAAAAATATTTACCTGAACCCAGTTAATACCAGCATTACCCCAAATGAGAGCTCGTTTTTGACGGGATTGAAAATGTTGGCTAGTGTCCAATATATTTGTTTGTACAATGCCAAAAATCAAGAATGCAACAAGAAACCTTAAGTACATATTTGAAAACTGTAATGTTAATCTTCGTGTCTTTTCTAAAGGTAACGGACATACATAGTGTCTTTATTAGAACTAAGGTGTTAAAAAATGATTAAATATTGATACACACTTTGCCATAGGGTAACAGTTATTTGAGATAAAGAATAAACTACTTTGTATCTTCTATATTAAATGTATCAAAAATCTTATTAAGTTTCACTAAAATACGCTAAAATTAATTTTAAATAGGATTCTTTAAGATTCAGTTAACAATTTCGCGAAAGTTATCATCAACAGATAAATATTTCTTAATTCTTTCTATGACTTTTGAATAAGACTGGTAGAAATGTATCTACTTTCTTTTATAAGTAAATTTAAAGTACGGATTAGAGTTTTTTTAATTAACTAAACTGTAGCTTGTAACAAACTTAATAAGAATATTTGGTTAAATATTAATTTCAGAGGATTATTAAAGACTAATTCTGATTTGCTTTAATAAGTTTTACTCCGTTTTGAAATGATATGAAAAAAAAAATAAAAGGAATACTCCTAATGTAAATTACTTTATATTTACTTAATAAAATCAATTCTATAGGATTAATATGTCAGCAAGGTATGTATCTTTCATATTACCTATCATTGCTCATCATCATCATCATCATCATTCAGCCCATACTCGTCCACTGCTGAACATAGGCCTCCCGTAGTTCACCCCACAAATTTCTGTCCTGAGCCGCCTGCATGCAATTTTGATGTGTCCGTTTCAGGTCATCTGTCCATCTTGTTGGTGGTCGTCCTCTATTCCTAAAGGCATCTTGTCTGGGTCTCCACTCAAGAATGCGTTTTGTCCATCTGCCGTCCTTCGTTCTCGCGACGTGCCCTGCCCAGTTCCATTTTAAGGTTGATATTCTTTTGATTGCGTTGGTTACTCCCGATCTACGGCGCAATTCTGTGTTGGGTATTCGGTCTCTCAGGGTTAATCCCAACATGGACCGTTCCATTGCCCTCTGTGTTGTTCGAATTTTGTTTGCGGACGTCTTAGTAAGTGTTAGCGTCTCCGCACCATAGGTTAGAACCGGCAGCACACATTGATCGAAGACTTTTCTCTTCAAGCAGATGGGAAGAGCTGATTGGAAAACATCTCTTAGCTTTCCATAAGCTGCCCATGTCAACCCTATTCTACGTATTAGTTCATTGGTCTGGTTATCTCTACTTAAGCGAATTTCGTGTCCCAGATATTTGTATGCTGATGTTTGTTCTATACTTGTTCCAGCTATGTTGATGTTCTCACTCAGAACAAGGTTTGTCATCACTTGTGTTTTTGAGTTATTGATCTTTAAACCCACTTGTGTAGAGGCATGGTAGAGTCTTTCGCACATTTCGATGGCATGATCTATGCGGTCTGTTATCAGGACTATATCGTCCGCGAACCTGAGGTGACTAAGCTGCTCTCCATTTATGTTTATGCCCTTTTCGTCTAGGTTTGCACGCTTACACATGTATTCCAATAATGTTGTAAACAGTTTTGGTGAAATGGTGTCGCCCTGGCGAACTCCACGATGAATGTTGAACTTGTGTGTGTCTTCATGGAGTCTGACGCATGCCGTGGCATTATCATAGATATTTTTGATGACAGTGGTGTAGCGGTGATCTATTCGGCACTCTTTTAAAGCTTCTAGCATTTTCTGGTGGTTTACTGTGTCGAATGCTTTCTCATAATCCACAAATATTAGGACGAGGGGTTTATTGTACTCTATACATTTTTCGATGAGGCTTTTAATAACTTGTAGATGGTCGTTTGTGCCGAAGCCTGACCTGAATCCTGCCTGTTCGCATGATTGATAAAAGTCCATTTTGTTCGAAAGTCTGTTTGTTATGACTTTTGTAAAAAGCTTGTATATGTGTGAGATGAGGCTGATTGGTCTATAGTTTACGAGATTTGTTAAATCTCCTTTCTTAAACATTAGAATGATCACTGCATTTTGCCATTGTGATGGTGTTGTTCCTCTTTCAAGGCATTCTGTGAAAAGTATGGAAAGCATTTGTATCAGTTTCTCGCCTCCTAATTTTATGGCTTCGGCAACGACCCCGTCGTCGCCAGGTGACTTATTATTTTTCATTTGTAGGAGAGCTTTTTTGATTTCATCAACAGTAACATCTGGTATGTCTTCCGAGCCCTGGTTCAGAACCTTTGGTATGTTGTCAGTTGGAGCATTTTCTTCTGTTTTGCTGTAGAGTTCGCTGTAATTGCCTATCATTGCTATCGTGGGGTTATTATAAATTCAAACTACTTCTTTCTAAGCACAAAATTAAGAGTAAGAATCGTAAATGCAAAAAAAGAAAAGGGTAAGATAAGTACTGGATACAATAGATCTTGAAAGAGATACTAGAAAAAATTAATATCACCTTCAAAGTTCAAACACAATAGATGATAATTTATCAGTGATAGTGGAGGGTTATTGGTCAAAAGTTGGAGAAAAAAAGAACGTTTCCTAATTATGTTTCTAATTAAATTAAAGAATTAAATCAAGACAATTAAATCCTAAAAACCTGTAAGGAATAATTCTATCAACTATTGAACGACCAATCTAGCAGAAATACATCAAACATAGAGGTACATACAGCTGAAATAGAAGACTAATACCCTACATACGAAGAAGTAATACATGCAATTAAAAAACTTAAAAATAATAAGACACCAGGTAGCGATGGTATACCCGCAGAGTGGTTAAAACATGGAGAAGAAGTGTTGTACAGTTCTATATACAAGCTAATTCAAGACATTTGGAGAGAAGAAACAATGCCAGATGAATAAAAAGAAGGAGTTATTGTACCAATACACAAAAAGAAAACAAAAAGCAATGTATTAACTAGAGGGGAATAACACTCCTAAACACTATCTACAAAATCCTTGCAAACATCCTGCTAGAAAGAATCAAAACATACACAGAAGAAATCATTGGAGATTATCAACGCGGATTTAGATCGGGCCGCTCTATCTCGTATCATAGAGAGCAGAATTATCACAAGGACTACTAGAAACTCGACTCAAAATTAACTTTAAGAGGTCTCTAATATAAACTTCAATTTTTAGATCCTCGTTGCCAAACCCAGTTTGCAAACTCTGCTAACTTTTGAACTGGATTGGATGTATTTTACATTTGTGCTTAACTTTACACTTGATGACTGAACTTACTGAACCTGTTCTGTCATTGTATTTGTACTAAGTTCAAAGTACTTTGCACTGTACGCTAATTTTCTGACAGGGTCGCGTGTCTACCGGTTCAGCAAACAAACTGTCCGAATATCGTTCAAAGGTAAAATAATATATAACTGATTTTTTCTATTTATAAAAATGAAAATTATTTTAAAATTATTTTGTGCAAATACCCAAAACACTTTTTGCATATTATAATTTGTATTGTTACAGAATCCAATAATATTATTAAAACTAGACAATCAAAGAGAAACGATGACTTGCTTTATTTAACAATCACAAATGAATGAAATATATTTACAGAAACCGTTAACGTAGAAATCCTGATGGAATATCTTCACGGATGAATAATGACGTTATTCCCTGCATAATTCAAGTATTATCGTTGAAACCATGGTGCCCGTAATATCCTAAAGCCAAATCAATTAAGGAAATGGGGCATGCAGGATACAACTCGGCGCAATTTCTTTGCTTATCTTCTTTATCCATCCTGTGTGCCTCATGATAGGTGAGGTGATCGACAGGTTCATCAGCGGAAAGAGCCGCAAGTGGTAATCTCTAATGGTAAAATAAATCCGTGTGCCTCAATTTAGGGGACTTTTTTATATTCTTTTATATAGACGAATATATATATATATATATATATATATATATATATATATATATATATATATATATTATATAGTGTGGAAACCAATTATGGAATAAAAGTGTTTGTGTCCTTATTTCAGAAAATAAAAAAAACTTTGAGATGCCTTAACTTGTAAATTTAAATGTGCTTAAAAATGCTTTTTAAACATAAATTTGAATGTACAGGGAGATCCACACAGTCTGGCATAGTCCATAATCTGTATTTTAAATGAGATACCCTGATCTCAACGAACCCGATCTCAACGAACTATATCATGTAGGCTCTATAATTTTCTTCAAGACAATTAATTCATAGAATACCCGAGGTAATTGATTAGATTACATTAAAATAAATGCTGGACACACAAAAGTACCCCTTCGTTCAATCCATTTATTGAAGAAGATTTTATTCAAGTAATTTCTCACCATTAAAGCATAATGGGGTGCTGCACCGTCCTGCTGGAACCAGACAGTTTCATGCGGTAGGGTCGGATCTATTGGATTGCGATATAAGTTAATCAACTGAGGAAGACCATCGTCTCTTAGCATGCTTAAATATTTTTCCGCTGTCAAATTACCATCTACAAATATATTACCAATAATATGATCCTATAATACCTGCTTACTCAAACATTCAACTTTTGAGGATACTGAGTATGTGTCTCACTCATTCAATGAGGGTTCTCCGCTGACCAATATCTACAGTTTCGTCGGTTTATCTCTCCGTTCAATATAAATGTTGATTCATCAGAAAAAAGAATTGTGCCAAGAGCTATTTCATTTGTCTTAATTTTATCATTTATTCGCAGAAATCCATTTTACGATCTGGATCGTCTTCTGTTAGCTCCTGCACAAATGTCAATTTATATGGATGAAGTTTTTCTTCATGCAGACACCTTAGGACTGTTGTATGACTTACATTATTTTGACGTGCAATTTGACGTGAACTTGACGTTGGATTATCTGCGACACTTAACAAAATATCCACTTTCACTTCATCTTTAATGAAGTTCGGTTTTCTTTTTAAATATAAATGTAAATAAAAATGGGCTATGGCGTGGAAGATACAACTTTGAACAATATCAGTTATACACCGATTTAGATATTGCGACATTCGTTGAAGTGCAGATACTTAGATGGGCTGGACACATTACTAGGATGTCAGATCACGAATACACGAAGAGATTAACATTTTCAAAACAAGTGGCGACTTCCTTGACATTATCTACAGAAATTGAAATAAAAAAATCATCTACCCATATCAAAACAAAAGTTTTTCCTTTGAAATACAAGCAAGGGTCAACCTTAGATCTTTTAAATCCTAAGTTACATAAATGCTTATTAATAGTTTTATTCCAACATTTAGGGCATTCTTATAAACCATATAAAGCTTTTACTAACTTACTACACCAGGTTTAACACTTAGACCATCCGGTGGCTTTAAAAACACATCTCTAGATACTGTGCTTTTCAAAAAAGTACTTTTCACATCAAGTTGATGAATATCCATATCACGATCTACAGCAATGGCTAATAGTACCCTCAGGGTGGTTAATCTATCTACTGGTGCATACACGTCTTCGTTGTCCAATGCTGAAATCCATCGTGAATCGATGATTACATCATCAGCCTTAGGTTCTACCTACGTCCAGGTACCGTTGCTTTCTAACGCCAAAAGTTCTTTATCTGTGGCCTCCTTCCCTACATTCTCCATCGAAACAGGTTTAATATAGTTTTTAGGTAATTCAAAAGGTAAAGCCATCATCACAATCACTTTATAGTTATCAAGAAAAGAAAGCATAATCTATTTCTTGAACTTCTACATATCTCGTGTTTTTGATTACTATCAGGTTGTATTACTTCAGGTTCAATTTTAATAGTTTCAGTAATAATTTGCTTATTTACACCTCTATGTCTCATCAAATGAACTGGAGATTAACTTTCACAAGTTTCATCAAATCTAACTGAACCAGATATAAACAATTGCAATTCTATAAAATACAAATTACCAATCAATTTTCCGGTATTAATTGCAGTATTACCCTTGATGGTTTTTACTTCCTTATTTTTAAAAATCACACGAAAACCTTTTTCTTTAATTTGTTTTACTGGTAATAAATTGTAAGAAAGATTGTCACTAACGAAAACATCATTTAAAGTAACTGAAAGTCCTTTTTTAGATATAGCTGAAAAACTACCTTGAAGAAGTTTTGCTGCTACAGTTTCATCAGCTTTTGCTACATTTATTTGTCTATCCACTGCTTTAGAATTAGTCAACAATTGAATGTATTTTGACATAAACAGGTGATTTGTACAACCACGATCCACAACCATATGTACACTACTCAATACATTTGAATCACAGCTGACTTCAACTTCCTCTTTTGTGTGACTACCAAGAAATGCAATTTATTTATTTTCAACATTACTCATATTAGCAGTTTCATAATTTTAGTACTGAAGTCCTGTCTTTTCGTAAACAGCTTTAAGAGCTTCCATCGTTCCCATCCAAGTTTCTTGGGTTTTAATTATTTCCAAAACAGTATCCCCAACTCACTGAACAATAATATCCTTTGCAGTCAAATCACTTTTAACAAAGTCTTTGTACTTATCGTCTTTCTAAAAGAACACCATGTCTTTCCAATGTTCTTTCCAATCGAAAATTCAAGAAATCAAAACCGGCTCCATTAAATTGTTTTACATTAGCCATAAAAAATTGATTGCTGGACGAACCTAACCTGTTTACGCAGGTTAATAATAATAACAGTATTATTATATTTAGTTAGAATAGAAATAAGTTTTATCATGATACTATGAATAACAAGATAGAATCTTCCCGTAGCTCAAAATCGGTCGGGTTCGCGCATGCCGTCATTGGAGAGTAGAATTTGAAATCTTGTTAAAGTTAAATGGAATCTGTATGCATTCTGTGATGAAATTACTAGACGAAAATAAGTTAAAAAGTTTAATAAATACAATAATCGTACACATAAGGATACCTCCAACCTATTTATTAAAGATTATTTATTGATATATACAAAAAACTGACATTTCGAACGTGCAACTCTCCAATGACGTCACAAAAACATACGCAATATCTTATCTTATAGTCAAAGTATCATGAGTTTTATTGTTTTATAAGTACAAGTGTAAGATGTACAGAGGCTAGTGACAAGTGACAAGTAAGTCATCAGACATCAATTAGAATAGAATAGAATAGAAATATGCTTTATTGTTGTCCTGTGGTCTGTGAACTGTGTTTGTCATTTGTCATCTTAGTTTTAGTTAATGTCATATGTAATTGTCATGTTATTCATTCAAACAAAACAATGCTAATTTCTTGTATATTAAAACCTAGTTTATAAAGGTTTTGCATTTCATTACAATTTAATATACAAGAAATATCAAATATGGATAAGCTACTACGACCAGACAGATTCGATGCTGATCCTAACTCTCCTAGATCGTCTCAAGAATGGATGCATTGGAAAGCTACCTTTGAAAACTTTATTTCCTCTGTGATTGATGTTTCAGAGGAGGAGAAATTCAAACTACTGGTAAATTACGTGAGCAACAATATCTATGAACTCATCTCTGATTGTAGAAAGTATTCTGAAGCCAAAAGTATTCTTGAAGCAGCTTTTGTTAAACCCAAAAATGAAATTTTTGCCAGACATATCCTAATGACAAAAAAACAACAAACTGGTGAAAATATAGGTCAATACGTTCAACATCTTAAAGTGCTTTCCAAAGACTGTAATTTTCTAGCCGTTTCTGCAGACCAAAATAGAGAAGATTATATAAGAGACTCTTTTATTAATGGCATTCTTTCTAATGACATAAGACAACGTTTACTAGAAAACAACACTATTACTCTGCAAGATGCCATAGTAAAAGCCCAGTCTCTGGAGTCAGCTTCAAAACACTCTGAGGCTTATACAACTCCTGTACAAATTATTAATGCAATTTCTTCTGAAACCAGAGAGCACACTAATTATACTTCTGCTGCTGTGAAAAGTTGGAAATGTTACTTTTGTGGATCAACTGAAAGGCATCCTCGTAGCCTATGCCCTGCTAGAGACAAAGTTTGTAAGAAATGCTCGAAAGTTGGACATTTTTCCAAGGTATGTAGGCTTCAGATGCCCAATTCAGTATCAGCTGCTGTTTTAGCTACTACTACATCTAGTTCGAATGTTAGAAATCTTGCTGCTGCCCCTCAATGCTTATCTAAAAGTGTTACTGAGATAAAGGTGAATGGAAATACAGCTGAAAGTTTAATAGACACAGGTAGTTCTGAGTCATATATCAGTAAGAATTATGCATTGTCTATAAACGTGAAAACATTTAGAAGTCATGCAAGCATAATAATGGCTTCAACAGCACTCAGAACGACTATCTCAGGACACTGCTTTGTTAATTTAGAAATAAACGAACATTCATATAAAAATGTCAAATTATCAATAATTCAAGATTTATGTGCTGATGTAGTTATAGGTCATGACTTGCTTAAACAACATTCTTCTCTAGAAATCACTTTTGCTGGCTCAAAAATGCCTTTAGTTATTGATCATATAGATAACATTTGTAGTTTGGCATACTTAAATATAGAGCCACCCAAATTATTCTCCAATCTATCAAATGATTGCAAACCGAGGGCAACTAAATCAAGAAAATTTTCAACTGAAGATAGAAAATTCATATCTGACGAGATACAGTATCTGCTATCGAATGGAATCATAGAAGAAAGCAACTCTCCTTGGCGTGCACAAGTACTTATTACAAAAAGTGAAACACACAAAAAGCGAATGGTGGTAGATTATTCACAAACAATTAATAAATTTACTTACTTAGATGCCTATCCTCTCCCAGATGTTGAAGATATTGTTAGAAAAGTAGCAAGATATTCTGTCTTCAGTACTATTGATCTTAAAAATGCATACCATCAAATTCCAATTAAAAATGAAGAGAAAATATACACTGCTTTTGAAGCCAACGGCCAACTATACCAATTTTGCCGGATTCCTTTTGGGGTAACCAACGGAGTGGCTTGTTTTCAAAGGGTTATCGATGGTATTATTAAATCCGAACATTTAAAAGGTGTGTATGCATATCTTGATGACATTACGGTTTGTGGATTAAATCAACAACAACATAATGAAAATCTTAATAAATTTATGGAAGTAGCGAAGAAATACAATCTAACAATAAATCAAAATAAAAGTTCTTATACACTAAATTCAATCAAACTTTTGGGTTATCAAATAGAAAATCAGACCTTAAAACCTGATCCTGAAAGACTTGAACCATTAAAGAAGTTACCCTTACCAAACGATTCACAATCACTAAAGAGAGCTGTCGGAATGTTTGCACATTATTCCAAATTTATCCCACAATTTTCAGAAAAGATACAAAAACTAGTCACATGCAATACTTTTCCTTTAACAGAACAAGCAGCTGAAGCTTTCCAAATTCTTAAATCTGAAATTATTTCTTCAGCTGTTACTACAATTGATGACACGATTCCTTTTATCGTTGAATCTGATGCTTCA